GGCAGCTTGACAGTACATTGACGAGGTAGCGACAAGCAAACCTGTACATTTCCAGCTCTGCAGTGTTCCTCCTGGCTAAGTGACCACCATTTTGAATTTGAAAGGACCGTTCCAAGCCTAGACAACAAAAAAAAAAAACTTGTACCGTAATGCTTGGGCAATTAGGCACTACTTTTGTCAAGAGCTGCAAGAACCCTGCGGCTTATATAGTGATGAGGCCGATGTATGTAACTTTATTGTGTTAGATCGCCCAGACACATCAGCTGTTGATCACACGCACGCATTCCAGCCTCCCGTTTGTGAACAATACAGAGAGTGGCAACACTGAATTCCACATAACCGGTTTTGTCACATGTATAGAAGAAAACAGTGTGGCATTCAAGCGTTTTAGAAAATTAACTTTTTAGACTTTTTGGCAAGTTTTAGTAGCTATAGGACACATGTTTATAGTCACTACAGATTGGAATTACTGCATTGATTTGACCAGAGCCTCGACGTGCTGTCTCCTCAGAGATTATTGTGTTGTGTACCAAAACATGTTGCTGCGAACAGTGCTTTGTGTGGTACTTCCAAGCCCAGGTAATTAAAGATGGCGGCCTATTCAAATCAATGGCCTCAATGGTCCCACCATGGGCACCAAAAAATAAACGTATCTCGCACATATTTGGATATGCCTCAGGTCCTCCTGGTTCTTCGCAGTGGGCGACCTCCAATGATGCTATGCGCCAAATACTAACAAGATTGCGTACAGTATGTGGCTCTCATGCACGTGCCCAGGGGGACATGGGAGCATTCCAACCAATCAGGCGCTGCTTATCAGAGCGGGCCTAGAGCGGGAGGAAAACGACAAACGAGTTTGTTGCACTAAAGTGTAGATGAATAGAAAACTGATGAATTTAACAAGAAAAAAAGTTCAGGATAACAAGGGACACTAAAATCCCCACAGAATTTTTCAGTTTACATTGAGTTCTATGGGAATTTTTTTTGGGTAGTCCTTGTGAATACAGTTTGCGGTACAGCGGGTGTACCCCTTTTTCAGATTTAAGTTTGAAACAGCAATAATTGGAAGGTACCGATTAAAACCAAATAATGGAAGTTGTTTTAGCAGTGTTTCCATATAAATAGACAAGATTCAAGATTTCATTTGATATTGTTTACAATTTTACTTTCAAATGATTAACAGTAAAACAACCATATATTGCATTTTCCAATTTAATTTTGAAACAGAAATATGATCACATTATACAAGATTTTAATTGCACACTAAAATGCAATCACCTTTGTATTACTTAAACAAAACTGAAATGTACCAATAATGCATATAGTTGATAAGTGTAAATGTAAGGTTCCAGAGATATAGAGCAATTTAAAGTAGGCAATATTTAAAATTGACGGCTGATGAACCAACTGGATTTCCTTTGTTCAGATGATTGAGCAAATACGAGATTACACCGACAATACGTGTGAATAATTTAAAAAAAACTACGACACAAATCCGGCCCTTCTGAACGATGACAGCCTGTCTTCAAACATGCACATACAGTCTATTTGACAAAAGCCGCGAAAGTTTCTATTGTTTCCGAATCTTCCTCCATTTTCCGTCTTATCCTGTCATCTGTTTTTGTCTCTCAGCTTAGCTCTGTAATTATCCTTTGCTGATTTTGGTCATTTTGTTTTCTTTTTTACAGAACAATCTCTATCTCTGGTCCTTTCTCTCTCCCCTTTCTCCGCCCAGTCAGCCTCCGTCACTCAGGCGCTGAAAGCCATATTGTTCCTGCCTTAACTTTGACTGACAGCGACTGGAAGCACGGGCTGATTTGTGAATCTTTCTCTTCAAGTGTCACAGATCTGTCTCCGCTTTGGTTGTCACTTACCGTTTAAATCTCTTTTGTTTAAAAGTGAAAGGGCGTGACGTCTGTACTTGGCGAGAACAGGCGTGACGTCATGTGGAGATAGATTGGTTGGAAACACTGTAAATGTGCATCAATATTGGCAGCGAATTAAAAACAATGGGGTTGTTCGATTTCGTCTAACATATTGCACTATTGTTTTTGTATATAACTTTTAAAAAAACGTAACTTTCATTAGTATTTTGTTTATTTCTATGTTTAACTTGGACACTTTTATTATATTGTATGATTGTATTTAGTAGGGCTAATTATTTCCCTTGTGGATCAATAATTTGTTTAATATACTTACATTTGCAAATTTTTTTTTTTTTCACATCCTTATATCATCACATTGTTGTATGTGAGTGTGTGTGTGTCTGTGTGTGTTTTAAAGGTGTATACAATTTCAAACCCCTACTTTGTGTTCCATATTTCACTTGCACATACATCGGTTGAACTGCCGAATAATAGCGCCCAGCGAAAGAAAATGATTACCGAATTGTGAAAACGCCCTTTGATTTTTGCATATTTTAAGAACACATCAGCTTCCCGGAAAATGATCACATTTCGCTTTAAGCAGAATTACTGTAGAACGGAAATGTCACATCAAGTAATGATTAAAGGTAGCTTTAGTTCAAAAAAACAACTGCCAGACGTATTTTTAGATTTCACTTGGAAGATATCATTCCTGAATAGACACCGCCCTAGGTTATAAGCTACACACACAGAGACTCACTCAGGCAGACTATCAGAAGGGATTTTACCATTCAAACAGCGGTCTCGGCAATTAGGCAGATGGATTTGTGGCTCTTTTCTCCATCCGGCGGAATATATAGCCACACAAAAACGCAAGCAATAGACCACAGCTTAAACCCGATTAATTAAAACCAATACAGCCAGGTCAAAGATCACCCACTCTCTTTTTTCTCCCGCATTATCCTGCATCTTCATAATATAAGAAAAGTACAAACTTGAAGCAAAGTCAGACAATATGATTATTTTGGCTTGCCGGTATCCGCGACAACAATGTATGCAGCCGGTAATAGAATCAAGACCACAGCTCTCATCTTTCCCTCTCCTAATTGAATCCAGAGCACACCTTGAGTTTGCCACGTGGATGAATGTGTGTGCGTAATAGAAAGAGTGTGTGTACTTAGCTGGATGTAATCAGATGGAATTAATATGCACGCTGTTTCTCATTATGGAATCACTGAACTTCACTTCAGAGATGCGATGTGCCCGGCGAGAGGCACACCGCAGATTGGTAATAGCCATCCTCTGCGTTGCAATCCGGATCTCTGTATGCTTTCTCGTATGTGCATTTGAGGGATATAATAACTGAAAAGAGATGCCGATTGCAGAAAAATATCCCGCTGATGAGGATATTAAAAAAACACACACACACACTTTCTAGCCCGCACACACACACACGCTCACACACTTGCCTTATAACCCGCTATTCCTCTTAACTCGTCATTGTGTTTTCCCCAAATCGAATTCCACCAAGCTGCATTAATCAGCTAATTGTGCTAATATGCATATCATGCTGCCTAATTGTTTTACAACAGTGAGGTCTCATCTTTCATCTGCTTTATAATTCTCCCTTTTGACAAATCTGCGCAGCACTTGAAACCGCCACATCTCTCACACACAAACAGTTACTAAAGCAGTGCGTTCAATATTGTTCCTCTATTGTTCCCTGACAACAGCAGACAACAAATGCATTGTTTATGACGAGTGCACAATCTCTTAAGTGTGTTAAGTGTTTGTCTGAGCATGACAGAGGTGAGTCTCTTTCAAAGAGGAAATTGATTCAGATAAAAGGTGCTTCATTATCATATATGATTGAGAGGTGCATCAGTGGGCGACAATTGTGTCTGTGTGTGTGTGTGTGTGTGTGTGTGTGTGTGTCTCGGGTGAGTGGGTGGTTGCGCTGGGACATTAAGCTTCTTCTTATTGCATCTTCACATGAAAGGGGCTGCACCTGTGTCTAATACAACAACAATAAAATAATAATAGTAGGAACAGGAGCAATCAAAATAGCATACACAATTTAGACGTCCTTCGGCCTGTCAGGAAAAGTTTCTGTTCTTCATTTGTTCAAATGGTGTTATAAAGAATTATAAAATCTGCCTTGTTAAGATGCAAACATATTCTACAACGATTGTATCTGTCGCGCTTGTTTGATGTGTGAGCTGAATGTCCTGGCCATCAGCGGGCTTTTTAAAGATGACATCACTCCCCTGCTGTTTTACCAGCTCCATCACATATATTTTTTAACGATAAAAGTTGCACACAGTATGCAAAGTTTTCTAAGCTTTTTATTCACATCTATTTGAATTATGTGGTATTACTGTACATGCAATGAAGCTGCAAAGACTGTAAAGGATTTGCTATAACAAAAAACACATGTTGTATTTAGTTAGTAATGTGATGCAGCCTTTATTTGGACTTCATAACGCAATTGATGACGGGGAACACCCACCATACTTGCTTTCACCTTTGACCCCCCCTTTGGAATCCCACGGGATCTCAAGCGCTGCCTTTTGCCTTGTGTTAGAGAAAAAACTAAACGAGCTTAATACTGTAGCGGCCCCGAAATCCTGTTGAGATTAAATACAAATGTTCTCCGTTGCAGGCAAACAGCCATGAGTAAATGTTTCAAGATAAATTCCTCCAGGGGCGTTTACTTTTCTCTGGCAGCGCTTCTTTGCGGGACTTGAAGTCTCTACTGGGCTGTGAATCAGGGAGGAGAGATGTTTTCACTATTTAAGTCAAGTTGCGCTGCATGTTTGAAGGCTCGGCATGCATGGTGGGGTCACTGGCACGCAAAAAACAGGCCTACATGCACGAGCCGCTTACGTGCGTCATACGCGCTGACAGCCAGGAAGAAGCGGAGAGAATATGGGCGCTCTCAAAAAGTAGCCTGCACACACGATTTACGAGGTGCGCCAAAAAAGAGAGACCCACAGAAATACGCACGCCCCCAAAAAACGGAGAGCGACGCTTCTTTAAAACTCAACACAAAATTAAGCACTTCTGCGCGGCTTTTTTGTAAATGATGCGAAACTTTATCCACAGTGGAGAAAAGTAAAGTGATCGAACGCTTACCTTAACACGTTCCAGCTTTTCAGGGGGTCCAAGTCTGAAATGATAGAAACCATGGTGTAGTCGATTGGGCTGGGCAGCACCGGGACAGAGGGGAAAGGGGGTGCGTATACAAGACAAAAAGACTGAAAGAAAAGACAAGGCGCACAAAGGCTGTAAACTCCGACTGCGAATGACAGCGATAGCTCGGATGCGCGCTGTCCAGGCTGCACAGGGGCTGATGAGCGCTGTCACTGCTCCCCGCGTGCCTCCCTCCCTCCCCCCTCCTCCCCTCCCCCCCCCCCCCCCCCCCCCCTCACTCACTCACTCCTCTCTCCCTCCGCCCCCTTGCGCCTGGAGCCCCGCGCGCCGCAGACGCTTTTTCCCGGTCTAGACCCTGCATGGCTGGAACGCACAAAGAGAGGAGCTGTTGGAATTAAAGCTGCCTGTCACGGTACCTTTATTTCATTTGCAATCATGACTTTTGTAATTGTCAGTGAAGGGCGATGTGCAGTTGCTGTGTGTCTGTGTGCCTGTGACATGGGATGTTTACTTTAATATAGTGAGACTGCAGACAACGTGAAAATGTGAGAATATGAGCATTTACATATATTGATTTGTGTGTTTGTGTTTTATGAAACCCCACTTCTGCAGGGTATACACAAATTGGGTACAACTCATATTTTTCCTTTTCACAGATATTTTTAGTGCAAGGCAAACGCTGTATCACAATGAAGAGAAACAAGATGTACTGAATATATTGACTTTTGAATTTGTTTCTATAGTTAAATAAGCTTTCATCATTTAATACCATCTCTTTCCTGTTATTAAGCACATTGGGCTTCAGTTCTTGTATAACATGTGCTATACAAATACATTTGGTCTGTTCTGTTATTCCCAGAGATTTCAAAAAATCCTTTCCCCAAACTATACAATGTTATAGCTGATTTTTTTAATGAGTTTTTGTATTCAAATTACAAGCATCTTTTTGTGAAAACAGCCAAAATGAAAAGACACATACAATTTTGATATTTGCTTTTATATTCAGGCCAGAGCCAACTTTCCAACACACTTTGAGTTTGGGTCAGGTACGTAATAATAACAGATAGAGGCATTTATCCTGATTGGGTTCTGACTGCCTTTATACGCCCTATAATAGGCCAATTTGTTTTTATTTTCAGTATTTTTTCATTTTGCAGCCACCCTTTGGACATGTCAGCGAATGTGATATCACTGGAAAAAATATCACAAGGCACTCGCCCAAGTCCCACCTATTCTCTGTCTATTTGCTCTTTGGGAAAAACACATGCGCCCAGTGGAAGAAGTGTGTCTGTTTCACATAATTGTCTGGACCAACATAGAGAGAGGCGACCGTGCCAAAGTCATCACAGTTACAGCGCCATCCGAGTTGTTATTTCTGGGTTATAATATTAGTCACGGACAGTTAATGGACAGTTTAACCAAAAGCCTTGAGCACAAATGTTCTTGCTTTCTGTCCACTTCTATTTCTTCCATTCCACGTCGGAAGGTAAAACATAAAATAAAAGGGTTCTGAAAGGCTCTCTAAATTGTTGAGCGCTGAGGTAATTTGCGGACTGCTGAAGCACGGCTGGTTCGCTGAAATGAACAGAATGCAAGCTCACAATAAGGCAAAACAAGTACGTAATGCAAGGATCCAGTCGGGCGCACTCAGCCTCGGTAGTGCATTGATTTATATAGGCTAAATTGGACATCTGCTTCACACGGGAGGAGGAGGGCCAAGCAGGTTGACAGCATCACTTTTCGCTTCCTGTTCAATCTCTATTTTTGTCTGTCACGCTTGTATATGCATGTACACTTGCAGGAGATCAAACGGCGCTCGGCTCGGCACATTTTTAATTTGTGCATAATGATGGCGAGCGAAGGCCTGGCATTTTGGAAGGAGGCATTCTTTGGTTTCATATGACGTCAGGGCAGTGGCGCGAATAACAAACGTGGGACAGGACGTGACGTATCCTGGCGGTGCAGTCTGCCGGGTGTATACTTGGAGATATAGTAGAAGAAGAAGCGCTGTCAAAATGCCATCTTTCTGTGCGGTGTACGCTTGTAGCAACCGCGCAAATAGGGAGAAAGACAAGAGTTTATTTCGTGTTCCAACTGTGGTCTCATATAAAGGAGAACACTTTGAAAAAAATCACTTGATCACTATTCAATTCAGTAAATGTACAATTCATTAAACGTGTGAAGAAGTTTGCTCCGTTTTCAGCTACAGTTACAGACGTCTGGTAGAGATCTTTAAGTTGGTTTATAGTTTTGGTCAGTGGGAAGAGCATTCCACAGTCTGGCTCCTTTAGAGAAAAAGGTGGACTGTCCAAAACATGTTATGAACTCATTGATTGATTGATTCATTCGAGCAGAAATTTGACAAGAAGTATTGTAAGTACAATATGTGCCTTGGTTTACATGACATTTTATACACGTTGACTTCTGGGCTCACAGTATACACTTACACACGCAAATATATAAACATAAATATACAATTTTCTCTAGTTTCACCATGTATTATGTATTTGCAATTTCAATATGTATCTACAAATGCATTTCTATTTACAATTTGTGAGCTCAAAATGGGGTGGGAAAGAAGTAAAAATGTGTAGACTCCCACCCCATAAACATAATTCAAATACATGTTAAATCATTTACTTATTTGGCACTGAATAATGATAACTTTAGGAGCCACACAGTCCCTGGTGTTAATTCTGCGAGAGCCTTGATGTCTGAGAGCCAACGCAGAGTACACCCGTGTCACATGATTAGTTGAAGATAAAAAAAAAAACACTTTTCGATCATTAGCAGTGTCTGTCGTTGGTAATACTCCGTCTGAGCAGGTATGTGATTTCCCTTTCCTTTTCAATACGTGCACTTCAGTTTTAACATGCAGGGGTATTCTCAAAGATTGTAAAACCCACCAATGTAATAATAACAATTTAATTTACAATGCATGTGTTAAAATTCCTCAAAGTGTAGTACTGTTTGCATTTTTACCCTCAGCCTTGCGTGACTATCAAAATCCATCATAAACATTTACGCTTCATGATCAGACAAGCCCTGAGCATTTGTCATCAGAGTGAATATGTGACGTGCATTTTATTTCCAAACAACCAAGTGTGTCCATGCCTCTGAGAAAAGATTCCTATTTTACCTTCATCGATTTGGAGGCAGCTTGGAGAGGAGCAGGGAACATAAAACAGCTCTGAAAGGATGCGGATGAAATAAGAATAGAGGGATTATTTCATAAATGACAGAATTTGGTTTTCTGTGTAAGTCATTTGATCCTGTCAAATATGCCTAAAGCCATAACGCCCACGTGCTCATTGTCTGAAAAATGCTCCATTTATAAGAATCTCCTCCGTTCCAAACAATGAGGGCTGCTCGCTCGGCTCCACATCACTGTCAGTCTTCAGTAAAACTCGGGGAAAGCAAATGAGATTTAAATGTAGGGGACGCAAATTGGCGCTCGCAGATCCAGCAGAATGGCCTAGTGTGCGTGTTTGTTTGTCCCACATCCAAAATCAGTGAAAACCGCTGTGAATGGCTTTATGTTGCTTACCTCCCGGACAGTGACAACAAGAACAAGGAGTTATATGACCACTATTTCACTTTCTACAACTTGATTCTATTTTTAAGACCAGAGTGGCTTTTTCAGAGTGGTCATGTGATGTTCCTGTCTCTTGTCAGCTATTAAACCTTTTTTTCCATTTCAATTCAATTCAATGTATTCTTGTATCAATCAAATGTTATTTATAAAGCGCTTTTCATACAAAAAATGAAACACAAAATGCTTTACAGTTTAGTTAAAAACAATCCAACATGCCCAGCCCTAAACCCTCCTCCCCACAGACCCCCCCAAAACCACATTTATAATTATATATACAACCACATGCGTATACACACACACACACGCATACAAGTATAAAGTCACATCAGGTACAATAGGTAAAACAATAAAAAGAAATGGGGCTGGGAGCAGATGTAACCGGCTGAAGAAGCGCCATCCAAGGAGCCATCTGCACCAGGAGCAGAGAGCCGGCTGCAGCCACAGGGAACGACACAGGACCCAGAGGAGACCCGAGACAACAGAAGTTATCTCGGAGGACTTTACAAAACCGATGAATTCGCCAACACAGATCAGAGAATCAAAGAGTTTAAACACAAGAAATAGAACAGAAAACACATTGGTGTTGCTGATTCATGAGGGCCAGGTGACCGATGTCCATAAGTGTTGCGTTTTCCCACCACCTGACGCAGGACAACAGCGCCATCTGCTGCCCAACTTCTTCAATACAGAATCCCATGTGCGCGAGAGTTAAAAAGCCCCCTCGTCCTGGTTTATAGTCCTGGAGGAATGTTTACGTATTTCTTTATGTCTTTATTGTCCTCGGCCCCTATGATATTTTGCATTGGCCCAATCCATAATGTGGTTCTGTCATGTACAGCGCAGAGAGAACTCATTCACCTGTTCGGACAAACGCAAATAAATGCATCAGAAATAGCGTTAGTATTTAGCTGGGAGCATTATCGGTTTGAGTGAGCTGGATTAGTTTATGGTTTAGGTCAGCGGGTTCACTGGCTGCGCTCTGATTCATCCACCTGCTCTCCTGCGCTGGTATTTTTACTCTTCTGATTTCAAGCTAATGGGAATAAACTCAGCCTTAATACCAAATGACTCAGGACTGAGGCACTGGGAAGGCCATGACAATGCTGTTATCAAGTGAGATCTTGCATTTCATAATTGTGCTGGTATAATTATTTCAATAATTTCACTACATCAGTGCACTTGGTTAGATTGGTTTAAATTATAATTGTAAATTATAACAATGATTTCCACGGTCAAAAACTGGAGTAGCTAACTCTGAAAGCCTTCTCAAAACCTGGTCAGAATCCGAATTATTTTTATTGTCCGATGTAACGGGAAGCACAAACTAGGAATTTACTTTGGCTCAAGGTGCAAACAAGTTATGGAAGTATAAGCAATGCATTAATACAAATCATAAAATTTCTTTAAATTACTAATGTATCCAAGTAGAGTAAGTATACTCAAAAGACATTTATTTATTACATAACTACTTTCACTTTCAGTCAAAAAAAAGTACAGCCTTTATTCAGCTCTCACTATGTAAAAGAAATAATAAAAGGTTTATCATAAGATAAAAACAGCAAGTTGGACTGATTTGTTCTTTTCACTCTGTCGGAACATGCACAATACTTGCTGGTCTCTGAGCAATTTCAAAATAAATGGCGTTTGGTCTATGTGTTGTTTTTGTGTTGTAATGTGACATGTAACCAACAACGAATAGAGTAAAGGAAAGCCGATAGAGAACTGTAGAAACTGCTCACATGATGCAACATGGTTTTTAACGCACT